GCTAACGAATTGGTCAAACACACCCATCACAAATGGTGGGAACACAGTAAACAACACATTGTAAAGTGTCAATGTCCACGACTCGATAAGAGACTGACCGGAGAAACCGTTGGCAAACACGAACCAAAACTGTGTCATGTAAAGGGCAATATTCTTGTAGAAAGAGTACAAGATGGCATGGGAGATTCTTTGGTACGACCAGGCGCCATGCACCAAAAGAAGCTTCTTCAAGTACTTGAACTGACCAATAGACACATCTGCGCTTCGTGCAGCTTGCATACCTTCAAGACCGTTGATACCAACACCAACGTGAGCAGCTTGAATCATGGAAACATCGTTAGCACCATCACCAATGGCAAGCAACAATGATCTCTTCTTCTTTCTCTTGACCATCTTCACCACCAAAGCTTTTTGCAATGGAGACACACGGCAACAGATAACAGCTTTACAACGAGTTGCCAATGTCAAAAAGATATCCTCCAACTCAGGCTCAAGAGCGTAACTAAGAGAATGACCATCGATGATCAAGGCCAACGATGAATCGAAAGCACTCGCATCCATTTCTGGCTGGTGCTCCATGATAGCATCCAACTTCTCTTGCAAATTCAATTTGGTGTCAGTTTTATTATCCTCGTTGATGATTAAAAGGTTCATATCCTCACTGAGCAATTTACAAGACATACCAATGTTGATGGCAGTCTCCTGTCTATCTCCTGTAAGGACCCAAACCTTGATACCTGCGTTTTGTAAAGTGTGAATAGTCTCTGGCACACCATCCTGAAGCTTATCTTCGATAGCTGTGGCACCAAGAAGGAACATGTCTTTTTCAATTATCTCGGCGACTTGATCGAGTTTTTCACTTCTCTCGTCCAATGCAGTTGATGCTTCATATTGCTTTGTGGCCCAATTCTCGTATTCCTCGTCAGAGATGATTCTTGAAGCAATACACAACGTACGCAAACCTTCAGAAGCAAAATCTTCCAAGTGACGAATGGTGGCGGCCTCGAATGGCTGGGGTTCATCTCTGTCCAAGCGCTCCAAAATCACAGTGTCGGCACCTTTACAGAATAAACGAATCACGCCATCGGGACATCTGAAGATCGCGGACATTCTCTTTCTTGTAGAGTTGAACTCACAAATGTTCAAAAGCTCATACTCAGAGTCTGTATCGGTCAAGCCAGTGTGAATTGTGACACTCTTAGGACGACGAATAGTAAATTTGTAGCCCAAGTCGGCAGCACCTTGCACTAAAGCACCCTCATCAGGAGAGGCAGCTTGATATTTGATACCGCCATCTTCCTTGTGTTCTGGAATAACAGTATGACATGTAGAAAGCAAAACAAAGAATTCGTTGATTATAGCCGATTGCTGTTGCTGAGAATCCTTTAAATGAGCCTCCATGTCACCAAAAGTATAGTAGCCAATTTCGATACCGTCGACTTCTTGAGCTTGACCATCTTCAGGGATCTCCTCGGTGTAACATTTTCCACCAATACTACAAGACTTGAACTCCATGACGTTTCTCGTGAGTGTTCCTGTCTTGTCAGAGAAGATGTACTCAATTTGGCCCAACTCTTCGACCAAAGATGAGGTTCTCACACCAGTAGGCGTATCGGTGTCTGGGTAGTACATATCTAGATCGCTGCCGATCATATATGCCTGGTAGTATTTGATAATTTCCACAGTCACGAAAAGGGAGATTGGAACCAAGTTGGAGAACAAAATCCAGTAGGTCAAAATATCTTTGAAAAAGAGACCAGCCATATTTGTGCCTTCCAAGTACAAGTATCCGAGGTCGTTCTTGCTTACCTGAATCTTGGCCACATTGCCGATAGACGAAACCAATGCCAATATTATAAGAATACAGAACAATGCAATAATTTGGAGGTTGATGATTCTCTCCACGTCGGTTCTTTTGATAGGGGTGGCGGTGGCATTGCGCATAAGCTTTGTTTCGTGGCCGGTAAAGACAACAACACCGTGGACCCACTGAGTGTTTCTCAACGTGGCACCACGGAGGAGGAGCTGATCAGGGGAAAATGGAATTTTGCCGTTGTTGCCGAAACCCTGAAGGGTACCTTCGTAGGTGTAAAGAGACGAGTTTGGCTGTTCGGACAAAATTTCGGACCTCGACAAGTCCGTGACGAGGGAGTTGGGGTTGACCAAGTAGGATGTCTCTGGCTTGGCCTGTTTGATTTTCAAGTTGGTTTCACCGTCCAAGTTGGCGGTTTCAATATAGCACAAACCCTCGGGCTCGGAGGAACTTAGAAGAAGCAAATCAGCGGGGAATGGCTCTTCGTTGTTCACCCTCACCACATCACCCACCTTCACCTTGACCCACTTTTTCTCCTCAAACGTGCCCGTATCTGGATTAAGCACTAGCACTCGGGTATTATTTAGCTCTTTATCGGCGCCCGCACGCTTCAAGTCTTCCATGATCTCCTTCACGGCGGAGACAAGCAAAACCACGGAAAGCGTACCGATGGTGGTGTATCTGTTGGTAGGGGTCACATTAGGAACCTGCTGAATGATGGACGTGAACAAGAAGAACAAGTTGGCGTACTTGGAGAACTGCTCGAACAAGAACTTGGGAATGAAGGTCGCGAAGTTGTACTTGGTAGTGGAGATGTGATTGCCGTAGTACTTGAAGGCCAGGTTCATGGAGGCGCTGAGCACGTAGATTTGGCGGGGTCCCTTGGCCACAGGAGCATCTTCGGGTTTGCCCCTGATCTTCAGTTTCAATTTGCCGTAGAGTCTGCGGATATCAAAGTCAGACAGCGTTCCGCCAGCGCTGGCGTCGTTGATTCGTTCACCGTACATGTCGTCCGACATGCCCTGGTACAGCGCCGAATGGGGGTTTTCGACCTTCGATTTGAACGCCAGAAAGAAACCCTTCTTGGGCAGAGCTGGAGCGTTATCTGTGCCTAAAAGCGGCACCTGCCGCGTTCCTGAGCTGGCTCCTTGAGCACTGGAGGTATCGTGGCGATAGTAGGAGTCCTCTTCGTCCAGAAGCACAAAATTATCGTCAAAGGGGTTCTCCAGGTACCCCGTGTTGCCTCTGTAGGTGGAATCTGGGTCGTTGTTGTAGGACGGGTAGTTCTGGCCAGGAGGGTCCATGGACTCGAGATCCAAATCAATAAGGTTGTTTCTGTCGGCAAACGGGTCATTTCCCGGTATACTGCCGCCATTGGGCTGCCGCAGGTTGCTGGACATGCTGTTTTTAGAGTCTGGCTGGAGAACACGAGGTGGTTTTTAACTGTGCGTGCATGCACTCTGGGGTCAACAAGATGGTGGGATTCGATGAGAGGGTGAATTTGGGATGATTTGGATTTTTTTATGAAAGTTGAAAAAGGGGTTCTTTGGGTTTCAATTTTCAAGGATCGGGCTGGTGGCTGACGACTTTTCAGATTTCGTCTGTGCTCCCATTGGTGGACACGGTCTGGTGGCTGCAACATCTCGCTGGTCAGGCATCAAGGCTAAGCAGGCAGGTCAACAACGCCGTAGCGGGGCGGGTGATTCGGAGATTTTTAAAGATTCCTACTATTATTTTGAATGGAAGAGTACAAATTTTGGAAGTTTATTGAAATAATAAAATTTAGAGTGATGGGCATTGGGCACTTTGGTCGGGTGCTTCGCGTCTAAGCCCTACAAGCTACTGGCGATGAGACACGAGAGTCTAGTTTTATGGCTTTGACGATGTTTCACTGCGGAATATGAGTCTTTTTCTGAAACACACAAACTTTTTGTATTAAAACTTCAATTGGCCTTGTGGCGGCTGAAATGGTGTAGTCCGAGCCCGGTAGCCAGGGAACAAGGCTGTTCTTGGCACCATAATAGGTGGTCATCCGAGCAACAGAGAGGTGGTTTTTGTGGGTATTGGAGGGTGTTTTTGATGATTTTGGAGTAGTGTGATGGAAATAGTCGTGGGGCAACGTGGCGGATTTGGCTTCAGTGCCTGGGCTTATATCGTAATGTTTAGACGAACAGAAGGGAAGACAATGGTGTAGTTCGGAGTTGGCCCACACAGGTGATTTCGAAATTGAATTGTGGGAAGTTTCTTGATGATTCCATTGTTTGTTTCAAGTTCTTGTTTGTTAGTCTTCTTCATTGGTGTGATAGGGTGGTAGCCGTGTGTCATGAACAGACACAAGGGACATCAGTAAATGAACACGATACTCACCGGTTTGAGGGGGCCTTGGAGAAGCTCTACTATCAACGGCTTTTGGGAGACCAAGTAAACTTCTAAGCTTTTGTTGTCCACTCCTTAGTGGATGAATCTGATGGCTTACCACAAACGGAAAAGCGATATCTACATCCACCTCAAGCTACACAAACAGAGGGCGGCTACTACCTTTCAATTACACTAACATTCCTCACTTCTTTGACCCTAAACCTACATCATTTCGAGCTCTTGACCGCCAAATAGTAGTACAAGAGGACACTTTTTCGCCTTTTCAGAAACACCGCCGACCCCTGCTGGTCTGGCGCCTCCTGTGACACAAAACGGCCCGTGGATGACCTATTTGGTAAATAATAAAAAGTCCGAGGCTGTCATATAAGACCCTATTCATATAATAACACCCCCAGCTGCATGTATTTTTTAGCTTGTGTACGCTGCGCTAGGATCAACACCCAGAAACACCTTTTTGCACCCATTCAAACTCCAGCACTTTCAGAGCAAAGTACCACATATTAGGTATCAATTTGTTCAGAAAATCCACTTTCTACCTAAATATCCAAAACCCAGAGCCGTAGCACCACTTTTGACTGACCCACCGATTTTCACAGTTTTCTCTCCAGAACAGAAGGTCCAACGGTGATCACGTCTTTCCAACAGCATGACCACCAGCACGAAAAATTATTTCAGACCCTCTCCCATACAAACGAAACAACATAAATAGAGGCCCTGTCCCCCGTAGTTTTCCCTCTCCACCCACCACAGTCTTATCAAGTTTGTCTACCTGAGCACCTACTCCGTACACAAACACATATCTTCAGCAATGATTACTACTATCTCGATCCCCGCTAAGCTTACCGAAACCTCCGCCACCCTGCCTGTGGCCGACGGCACCTTGAACGTTACCTTTACGTCTGAGGAGCTCCAGGACTTCTTCAGCCATTATGCTAAGTCCACTTCTAGCCCCGAGGCTAGCGAGCTTTTCCAGGCCAAGATCAACAAGGCTCTTGAGCTTCGTTCTCTTGCTGGAAACGTTCCCTCCAACCATTCCGAGGAAGAGGCCAGTGATGCTGCTGGTTCTTCTGAGGAAACAACTCTCTACGAGAGTCTGGACAATGTCAAGGTCTCCTCCGACGAGGAGGTGGATTCTGAAATTGACATTGGCCAGGGCAGATGCGACGTTGCTCAAAACGACGCTGACGCCGCTTTCATGGACCTCTGTGGGTTCCATGCTGACCTTGTGGTGACGAAGGCCTTGACCATCAAGTCTTCCAACTACAGAGTCTCTTCCGTCTCCGAGGCCCTTATCGAGGACACTGCTCCCCTTTCCTCGTCTTCCCCAAAGAAAAACTACTTTGACGTTCAGTCTTCGGTTTTTTCTTCCAAGGACCTCGTGAACGCTGAGCTCCTCAGTCGCTTCTCCAAGAAGGCTGAGAAGAAGCTCCAGGTGGGTGCCTTGTCGCCCTACCACCACTTCATGAAGCTTTTCAAGCTTTTTGAAATTTACAGAGCCTGCCACCAGTACCTTCCCGAGGTGGCCCAGGCTGTGAGACTGTGCTACTCTCCAGTCTTCCCTGTCTCCGTTGTGGAGCTTACTGACGTTGGTCTCAGATTTGTGCCACCCAGCTTTCCAAAGCCAAAGCCTTTGTTTACTTTTAAACAAATGGTCGTTCGGGAAAAGATTGCGTTGGTTCGCTGGATCAGAACTAACATCAAGGTTCCCGAAATGCAGCCCATCCTTGTCCCCAACAACCAATTGGTCAAGGCTCTTCCCTACCATGACCTCCCCAAGCTTCCCCAGCTTCTTGACTACTACCACTCGTACTGGAAGCACCTTCCCCAGGTTTCCAGAGCTGTCGAGGATTTCCATGCCTCTGGCTCTCAGACTGTCTGTGAGCTCAAGGACACCAAGCTTGTTTGTCAAGCCCCTGCTTTGCCAGAGTCCAATATTGAATTGTCTGGTTGTAGCGCCACTACGAGCTCCCGCTCTATCCAGTCGTTTCTCCGCTCGAGAAGCCGGAAGAGGGGTCTGAGCCTGCGCTGTTCGAAGCAGAGAAGACACAGAAGATGTCACAAGTCTTAGCTGTGTCGCCGACGGTCCCCTGGACCCTGAGTTTTGAGACTCTAAAAATGAAAAAATATTGTTTTAATAAAAAAAATTGAAAATGGAGAGTAGTAGGTAGGTGGTGATAATGGATGTGAGGGTGGTGGGTGGTAGAATTGTCGAGGATCCCATGTAGAATACGAGGTGGTCATCGACATCGTTTCAAAATCAAGAGGTCTTTAGTTCAGCGACTTGCTTCATGCTTAAGATGTTTTGTATTTTTGAAATCAGGATATGGTGGCTAGATATGGTGGCTAGTAAGAAGGGCCTATTCAAATAGCTCTATATATTGCATACCCATTATGCCTCAAGCCATGTTTTATGACAGCCATAGCTTAACTTCTCAAAGTTGAGTGTTCGGCTTTCCTAGTTTTTTCTTCTTTTCATTTATTTGTATTGTGTCGAAAGTCCTTTAGTTGTCTGTCCTTTAGCCTCTCGGAACCTCACACTTGGCAAATTCTACAACACTTTGCAACCAGAGTACGAATTTTTGGGAATTTTCTATTAAACATTCAAGAAAGTGCAATCTAGACCCATTAACCCGAACTCCTCCTATTTGCTGTTTTAAATACATACTCCACCCCCTCGTTCATGTCTCACCACGTTGTCAGGCCATATTGCCAATTGCTCTTTAGCAGCCAAACCAGGCACCCTCCACCAACCCCATTTCCTCGATTGACAAGCCCCCACGACTATATAAGCACACGCCTTCCCTTCCCTTCTATCTATTTTATACTTTTCTCTTTTCCCTTCTTCTTTTTTCAAAATTGACTTCAAAGCACTAAGCTCTTGGCTCACCTCGCCGTAGTACACCGAATCAAGCCAGTCTGTGCAGTGACCCCACAACTTCTCACCACCTACTACACCTTTTATCATCATGGCAGAACAAATTGCAAAAGACGCCAACCAGGCATTCGGCGTGTTGAAGACGCTCAGCAATGATCAGAGATCCGCAGCTTTGCACCTGATCCACGACGCTTTGAAAGCCGCCAAGCTGGACATCTTGAAGGCCAACGAGCAAGACATGGCAGCGGCTGAAAAGAACAACTTGGCTGCTTCCTTGATCAAGCGTTTGGATTTGGCGAAAAACGACAAGTACGAAACCATGTTGCAGGGCATCGTGGACGTGGCGGCGTTGCCTGACCCCGTGGGTAAAGTCACCATGGCCAAGAAGATCGATGAGGGTCTTGAGTTGCACAGAGTCACTGCTCCTCTTGGAGTTTTGCTCATTATTTTCGAAAGCAGACCCGAGGTTATCGCCAACATCTCGGCATTGGCCATCAAATCGGGCAATTGCGCCATTTTGAAGGGCGGCAAGGAGTCCTACCAGACTTTCAAGGCCATCAGTGATGTGGTCAACCAGACCTTGGCCTCCACCCCTGTGCCTCCTCATGCCATCCAGTTGATCCAGTCTAGAGAGGACGTGGCCGATTTGTTGGCCCAGGACAAGTACATCGACTTGGTGATTCCTAGAGGCTCCAACGCCTTGGTGAGAAATATCAAGGACAACACCAAGATCCCTGTTTTGGGCCACGCCGACGGTATCTGTTCTGTTTTCGTCGACAAGGAGGCGGACTTGGCCAAGGCTGCTAAAATCGTGGTGGACTCGAAAACCAACTACCCAGCTGGCTGCAACGCTGTGGAGCAGTTGTTGGTGCACCAGGACATTGCCTCCGACAAGAGCAAGTTGAACCAGGTTTTGAGCGCTCTTGCTGCTGCTGAGGTGACGCTTCACGTTGTTCCTGAGATCAAGGCTCAAATTGAGGGTATCGACGAGAAACTCATCAAGGACGCTGGCCCAGACTCGTTCGACAACGAGTTCTTGTCCTTTGACATTGCCGTTAAGCCAGTAGCTGACGTTGACGCCGCTATTGCCCACATCAACGAGCACTCTTCCAAGCACACCGACTGTGTGGTCACAGAGAACAAGGAGGTCGCTGAGCGCTTCTTGAAGGGTATCGACTCCGCCGGCGTCTACTGGAACTGTTCTACAAGATTCGCTGACGGTTTCAGATACGGTTTCGGCACTGAGGTCGGTATCTCCACCAACAAGATCCACGCCAGAGGCCCTGTTGGCTTGGAGGGTTTGATGAGTTACCAGTACCAATTGAGAGGCAATGGTCATGTTGCTTCTGAGTATGTTGGTGCTGGCGGCAGCAAGACTTTCGTGCACGAGGACCTCCCATTCTAAAGAAGCTGTTATGTGTATTTTCTATGATACAAAGCGAAGAAACTCGTCGTAGTCGCTGGGTGGAAAATCTGGATAAGTGTCGACGACTTTGTCTACCTGTTCCTTGGAAAGCTCAACCTGAGTCCATTGACGGAGGGTGAAGAAGTCCGTGAGCTTTTTGATCCATTCCATGCGCTTTTCTATCGTCTCTAGGCTGTTATCCTGTAGTTTTCTTTCTCTCAAGTTGGCCCTAATAGCTCCAAGGGTATCCACAGCGTCGTTGAGTTTCACATCTGCAAACTGCTTAGCAATATCGTCCTTGATCATCTTCAGCAACCGTGGGGACTTTCCATTGGTACTAATCATGATTTGGAGGGAATCCTGGTTGAACATGGAGCCAAAGTAGAAGTCACACATTGGCGGCTTATCGGCGATGTTGACGGGTAATCTGAGGTGCTTGCATTGATAGTATACCTTTGTCAGAAGTACTGGATCATCGATACAGCACAACACACAAGCGAATACTTCGTCCTTGACCTGCTCATCAATCTGAGCATAATGGGACTCGTCAATGTCCTTGTACGATATTTCAAGCAGCAGCTTCTCGTACATTTTCAAATCATCAGGATCATAGTCTCGCTTCAAGAGCTTGAAAATTTCTCCCTTATCGTCCAACTCTTGAATCTCTGGATGGACATTGGGTCCACTGATAACGGTAATTCTTGCCTGTGCCCGAATTAGATGATGGACGCGGCTTAGAGCAACGTCTCCGCCACCAATTACAAGACAGTGTTTGTCTTTGACCTGCCAGGCTAGTAGAAGTGATCCAGGGTGCTTCATGTGGAGTAGTTGAAAAATACGGTTATGATAAGCGAATGTAGAGGTGATTTAGGTGTCAAGTCACGTGGAATCACAGAAACATGGAGGTGGAAGAGGGATCTTCGTTTCAAGAGAATTTAAGGTATTTTCGACATTTTGGGTATCTTAAAGCTTAAGTTGGACGTATCTGGCTTTTGAGTGGCTGCGAAATGATCTTCACCATCAGGCCACTTGAACCACATGAGTCAGATATGCAAGGTAAGCATTTGACAAAGTTTTCAGACGCCAAAATATCATGAAAATTCCAAATACTTGTAAAAATAGGAGTATGTAATTCAGAAAATGGCTTATCAGGTACCGTGACTCAAAGCATGAGTCCTCGTGGCTCGAACGGGTGACGTAGAGTCACGTGATGCATCGAGGTCAGAAGACAAATACTGTCAGTGCTCTTCCTAAATTGACAATCTCTAGCTGCCAGTCGTGTCATATTATTAAATCTGTAAACAAAACCTTTACATCCGTCCCAAACCTTGCTTGATGAGGTCTGCCTGGTGTGGCTGATAATGTCAAGGGCCCGTTCCTGCAGGAACCCCACGATCGAGACATGCGCCTAAAAAAAAAATCAACGTCACTCCAGCTCACCATATACCCACCACGTTACCACCTACTACACCTTCAGACGAAGTCTTTTCGATTCCAACACACTCCTGATACCTGTTTTTCCTGCATCTTGCTTTTCTAATATAGCCTAAAGCCGCCTTTGAGCATTGGCACCTACCGAACCAGCCGAATCATCGTCGAATGCCAGCCTACAACAGAAACGAACGTCGCAAGTCCATGGCCGAGCGCAGGCCCAGTGCTTCGTATGCTCCTTCCAAGATCCCCCACTTGACCGGTTTGGAAAAACCCAACGAGCACTCTCTCAAGCTTGACCACTGTGACATCTTGATTCTCGGAACTGGTCTTGTGGAATCCGTCTTGGCGGCTGCTTTGGCCTGGCAAGGCGTGGAGGTTCTTCACATTGACCATAATAATTACTACGGAGACTCTTCGTCGACGTTGACGATTGACCAGCTCAAGAAATGGTGTATCGAGGTGAACCAGGGTAAGGTGCGTCACTTCCTGGACGCTCAGATCTATATCCCTGGAGGCAAGCGTACCAATGAGTTCAACTCGAAGGATTACGGGATTGACTTGACTCCCAGAATTGTGTTCTCGCAGCTGGACCTCTTGGCGCTCTTGATCAAGTCTAGGGTGTACAAGTACTTGGAGTTCCAGAGCTTGCTGAACTTCCACGTCTTCGAGAACGACAACTTCAAATCCAATATCTCCAACACAACCAAGGAACACATCTTCACTGACCAGCTGTTGTCCTTGACCACCAAGAGACTGTTGATGAAGTTTCTCAAGTTCGTTCTTCAGGACAACAACGATCCCGAGAAGAAGAAGATCTTGGTGGACAACTCCCACGTCAAGATCGAGGATTTTTTGGCTAATTCGTTCGGCTTGAAGCTGCCGCAACTGGATGAGCTTATTTATCTGATTGGTCTCGCTAACAGAAGCGGCACTAGAACCCCGGAAGCCGTGGCCCGTATCAAGCGTTTCTTAGTTTCCTTTGACGTTTACGGCAACTTCCCAGTTATGGTTTCCAAATACGGAGGTCCCGGCGAAATCTCGCAGGGCTTCTGTAGAAGTGCCGCTGTCGCTGGTACCACTTACAAACTTGACACCACTCTCGTTGACTTTGACCCACAGCTCAAAATTGCCAAGTTTAGTGACGGCTCCTCGGTCAAAATCCAAGAGAAGGTTGTCGCAGCACCTACTCAGGTGCCCAAGTTTTTGGCCACTTCATACAAGGAAGCCTCTGAGAAGTTGCAGCCATTCACTGTAACGAGGCTTACCACCATTGTCAGAAAAGACTGCAAGGAATGGATGTCTGAAAACGAATCCTCCGCTGTGGTGGTGTTCCCACCCGAGTCTTTGCCAACCAACAATGTTCACACTGTTCAAGTTGTGATTCAAAACGGTGGCTCTGGCGTCTGTCCACAGGGTCAGTCCATCTGGTACTCCCACACCTGTGAGCAGAATGCTGATAAGGCAAAGAAGGATTTGGAGAGTGCTTTTGAGAAGATGGAGAATGCTATCTTGAGAGAAAGCGCTACCAACCTTGAGAACTTGCTCGACAAGAAGGATTTTGTTGTCAACGACAGAGGAACCCCCATGCTTGTCAACTCCTTCAAGCTCGGTGAGTCCTTGCAGAGCTTTGTGCCTAAGGAAACTTTGGACATTGTCTGTAAGTTTGGTTACGTTCAAACCACCTATATTAATCCCGATTTGTCCAACGTCTTGTCGGCCTCTAACACATCCAACAACATCACGCACGCAACAGTTTCGGACACTGACGATATTATGTTCCTGAACATGCCTTCGGCGGAAATCAGTTACGACGGTATTATCAGTGAAGTGAAGATGTTGTACAAGAGGATCACGGGCAGTGATGAAGACTTCTTTGACGTCGACTTTGAGGACGAAGACGACGACTACGAAAGAGCTGCTGCTTCCACGTCCGCTGTTATCGACAGTGAGCTGGACATGAACGATGACCTGGACTACGACCCGGTCCACCACGAGCCATTTGGAGCTGGCGAGATGGAATTATAGACAACGCAGGCCCGCATCTCAACACAGTACTAATTTATTTCAGCCCTGGCGGCGTGCGGCAGCGTTCCTGACCGGTAATTATAATATAACGATTCACGAAAGGGTAGGCCAATTTTGGTCAGTGTAGATGCAAAGAGGACCACTAGGGTGTATGTTGTAGGGCTCGAGCCCTAAAGCCCAGGTGCGATATCGCATTGTGTGCAGTGCTCCATCGCCACTACAACCCATTCGCATTTTTCAGAAAAACTTCTTCTTCACTGAGCAGGTTACTGTCGAAGAAGTCTAATACTAATTAACAAACATGTCTGACGTCGAAGAACAACAAATTGTCGAGGAGGTTGCCGTTGAGCAGCAGGATGCCGCCATCACCATCGAGGACGCTTTGAAGGTTGTCTTGAGAACCTCCCTCGTCCACGACGGTTTGGCCAGAGGTTTGAGAGAGGCCTCTAAGGCTTTGTCCAGAAAGGAGGCCCAGTTGTGTGTCCTCTGCGACTCCGTCACCGAGGAGTCCATCATCAAGTTGGTGGAGGCCTTGTGTAACGAGGGTGACGAGAAGATCCCATTGATCAAGGTTTCCGACGCCAAGTTGTTGGGAGAGTGGGCCGGTTTGTGCCAGTTGGACAGAGAGGGTAACGCCAGAAAGGTCGTTGGTGCCTCCTGTGTGGTTGTCAAGAACTGGGGTGCTGACTCTGAGGAGAGAAACGTTCTCTTGGAGCACTTCTCCCAGCAGTAAGCAACCAGCTGTAGATAGCCTCGCGGTCGCCCGTGTGTACTAATTTACATCTGACAAAAACGAGTGTAGTGTTTTGTAGTCGAGGGTGGTGTGGCATTGAAAGTGATGCGATGGCAGTGATGGGGTCGCTGATTGTGTGGTATAGATGGTGAGCTGAGGTAGGGATCGTCAATGAATGGTCTAAGCTAGCTCAGTGAAGGCATTAATAATTGTGATATGTGTTTTTGTTGTGGATTTTAGAGAACTGGCGACGCTAATTTGTAAGTATCCCGTTCGGATTGATATTGCTTGTTCCTGGTATGGTGATTTTGCAACCATTAGAATCTCCGACACTTCGACCAAACTCGACATCACTGGCCCAGCAAAATTTATGTTTTTGATTAACACTCTACGTCTATTTGATCGTTTCAAAATCTCAACTCAAAATCTGTCGGTGGGCCCTTGCTAGACCTTAATTACTTACTACGGATGCCTGCTCAAGGGAGAGCCTCCGACGACTAAAAACACTGATTCGATGATCCATGTTATCAAAGTAGTTAAGAATATCCATTTTCGACTCTTTTTCCTAGATGTATGAATTTACCGTATTTATAGTTTTTTTGATTTAGTGCTCTTCAAAGGTGTTGATCTGCGATAAGAAACTCCGATAAGCACTGTACCTCCAGATTTACATCTCACTGACAAAACACAAACAACACCCAAAAAATGACATCACGTAGATTTTTCTACGAAATTCGCCCAAATACACGAGACTCACCCCTCCTCCACGAAACTCAACCACCCATTGCCTCAAATCGCCTTGTACTGCTGAACCACCACTACATCATCACCACACTTCGCACCAAAACAGACATCAACTACCATCATGGATGAGAAGCACGAGCGCCGTGAAGCACGGACGCGAGGTGCAGGGTATGTTTTCGGGTTTAATTCCGCTGCTCCTTACTAACTTCAGAATCAAGTATTCCGTGGACGACTTTAGCATCAAACTGCCTGAGAAATCACCCTTGGCTTCCCCAGATCATAGACAACACAAACCACAAGCGTCACCCAAGGGCAGACTTACGCGTGAGCCACCAAAGCTTTCGCCTCCAGACGCCAAGAAGGCAAGACTACTAGAATCGCTTGACCTGGCGCTCATAAAACCTGAAGATGTGGATCTCCCCAGACGAAGGAGACACTCACTGTCCAAGGCAGAGGCACGAAAGAACTACCAGGCGGCAAGAGACAGACGGAAACTGATGTTCAGTTCGGACGAGGAAGAAGAGGAGAAGGAGTTTTCGCCAGCGCCCGTCATGGACTTCAATGTGTCTCAGACACCAGACTATGAAGAAGAGACAAAACCCCCTGTCAAGAAAGAGCCTGAAAGCCCGAAGCCAGCAGAGCCCGTGAAACGAAGACGAGGCAGGCCTCGTAAAGGCGAGCAAGAGAAGAAGCTGATGACGGTCACGAGAAGATCCAAAAGAATTGTGGAGAATCCTGATTTACGGAAGCACCATACTCCAGAACCGGCTATCCTGCTTGTGCCTAAACCGCTCAGAGCGCTAGGACTTGGGCTTCTGACATTCAGCGAAAGCAAACCAGAGCCTACGGCAACACTGATAACGAAATCGGCCCTGGGGCGCCAGAAACCGTTGACTGTGGATGCAGAGCGTATACACACGGCTAACTCTCGAGACAAGCGCTTCACACTTACCACGCTAGACGTTCTTCGACAGCTTGTTGACGAAGCGAATCCTAAAGCCGTCAAGAACGAGATCATCAACGAATCTGCTGTACTATATGAGTTCAAGGCGCATTTGCTATACAGCATAAGCCACTTGATGGACGTTCACGCCTCCACCAAGGACATCAGTCACGATGTGATGGAGGTGCAACGCCAGAAAACAGAGATGAGGAGGAACATTCTAGAGCTCAAGAAGGAGCATGCCAATGTGGGCGAGCAGCTCAACAAACTACGAAACGAACACAATTTACACAAAGAGAAGCAGGCACAATTCAACAACACTGTGGATGCTATTGCGGCGCTCAAAGAGGCAACAGCAAACCCAGCATCATACGACGACCACACAAGTCTCAGTGACACGGTGTTGATGAAGCTTGCAGACGTTACAAGGGTCTTCCACCCACAACTGGGACTCCAGCAACAGCTACAGATAATTAATGAGGAGCTTTCGAGAAAGCTCGAGAACAGAACATGATAAGTGCGTTTATTAAATACGCTCTATTGGGCACGAGAGGTTCGTGGTGAGCTGATGAAGAATGGAAAAGTAATCGAGGATCGTCAACGGCAACCACATTTCAGATGGCTGGCGCCTTCTTGTGTGGTACATCCATTATGTAGTGTCCTAGGAACGAGCTTACTCGTCGGCAACCAAGGCCATGATCATTCTGTACAAGTAGAAGAAGAACATCAACAAATGGAAACCCAACTTGATGAATGACTCTTTCTTATGCTTCGACAAGGTTCTGAAAATCTCGGTGGCATCGAGCAAATGGTTTTTGTTGTAGAACTTGTTGATGTTGAATGCAAGCAATGGCAAGTTCAACAAGAAGACGAACCAGAAGCCATTGACCAAGAAAAGGACAGTCAAAAACGCATGGACGGAAGCCTCAGGGATGAACCATGGGTTCAACTTATGACACAACTCAATTGGGTTGATGTAGTCACTCTCCAAGTCGGAGTACATGATGGTGAAAAACACCTGAGTGAACAAGTTCACGATGTTAACAATGACGGCAAAAATAAATAACCTGAAGTTAGTATCGAAGCATCTTTTGATGAATTTTGGTTATTGTACATACCAGCTCTCTCCAGTCATCTTGGATCGGTATTGCTCTTTTTTTTGCTTTTGAAATCAGTCAAGGTCGGATAATAGTGCGATGAAGAGGGTGAGATTGGTTGACTGCCCAATCGGGCATGCAGTCGCGCCTGTGCCCAGGTTTCGTTACACACTTTCTACACACTTCCAGGTGACACCGTCAGCAGTCGTGGTTTCGTCGATTTTCAGATCAAACGAATCAGGAAAGCCCAAGAGACCATATTTGATTTGCTCCTCCCACTTCCCTGTTTTGCTGTTGAAATAACTGCGCAAAATGCTCAAGCGGTGCACCTTCTCGTTCTTGTCATAGATAACGCCTTGGACCCAATTGCCGAGCCTCACAAGCTTGCCCTTGTGGTTAGACAGGTCAACTTCCCAAACCACGCTCTTGACGTTCTTTTGCTTTTCTCTAGCCTCCTGCTCAGGCGAGTGTTCCTCAGGATCCAAGGAGCGCCATATCTCAATGTAGGGATTGAGCTTGCCAGTGACAGGATGGGTCAGGATGCCCGTCTCCTGGCGATCCTCACTGCCCTCAACCGGGCTGAATTCACCGATATCTTCTTCATCCTTGCATTCTTCAATTGGCTTGCCTGACTGTACTGACTCAACCACCTCCTTCAGGTTGATGTCATGCTTGAAGTGGATCTTGTTTGTACCCTCAATTGGAACCTCAGTGCCAGTCATGACCCAATCGAAGACCTTTTCGAAGTCCTCAGGCTCTGGGCCTTGTTGAACATGTGGAAGACGCTCCTTTCTGATTCTGCAGTCAACGAAGTGATTAGCAGGCGAGGTTGAGACTAGCGTATGGGTCGTCTCGGATGGAGGATCTGGCGGGCGCTGGATGTATATTCTCGTAGATAAAGTCATCTTTCAGAAAGAAGTTGATGGTGAAAATTGTGGATTTGATAGCCTGTCAATACTGTACGGAATCGAAAGCCGCTTTCTCCACGCTAAGCGCATTGCTTCACTCGCTTTCGCGGTCCCGAATGCGCTCTGACAATTGCGCTCTTGTGGTGGTGCTAACTGTGCTACCATCAAGTTCTCTTAAATGTGGGAAGAAATTCAAAAGAATAGCTTCGTAGTTCAAACGCTCTTTGATCTTGTTGGCTTTTCCCTTTGCCTTTAGGCCTTCAATAAAGTCTTCATCTCTCAGTTCCCACTCCTCCTTACTCTTGATCAAGGTGTTGTAGTGGATCGAGAAGTTCTCGATATCATCCAAAGCTTCTAGCTGAATTGGGCCATGTTTGAGTCTTAGCTCTTCTTCCAACGTCGAATCACGCTCCAAAGGATTGAATACATAGGGATAGAGCTCGAAGTTTATCGAGTTCAATCTCATGTCAAGAACCTTCAACGTTCTTCTGGAGTTGGTCAAACTCGTAAGCACAACCTCCATGCGGTCAATATTGTTGCTCAAAAGATTGAGACGCTTGAGTCTTCTGATCTTTCCGAGACCAGCGATATCAGTCAACCTGTTGAAATTCAAATTGAGTTCTCTCACGTTGGCATAAACCTCACCAAAGCTCTCAGGAATCGTCGTTAACCCGACTGCTGACAAGTTCAATTTGTTGAGATTCATGAAAGGATCCATCGTGATGCTAGAAGGTTCTGTCTGGAATAACTTGGAGACAAATCTGTTTCCTGAAAGATCCAACGAGTTGACATCAATTGCACCATGGAATATGCTCGCAGCAACATCAGCTCTATCCTGGCACTTTGCTGACACTTCCTGTAAATACTTAAGCTTGCGGAGATCAGTTATGCTAGAAAGTGCATTTCCGTCAATCCTCAATATTCTCAAGAGCGGAAACAGATCCAAGTCGAGCAGTCTGATTCTGTTGAACTTGAGGAGCAACTTTTTGAGGTGGGGATGCGATCCATTGCATGTCAAATTGATTAGGTTGTTCTCATTCAAGTTGAGTATTCTCAAGTTTGGTAAACATTCGAGGCCAACTATGGAACGGATCTTATTCTCTGACATATCAAGCTCTTGCAAGTTAGGAAGATCTATCTTCGAGAAGTCAATTTCTCCACCAAGGCCGTTTTGTGAAAGGTTCAAGTACGTGAGCCCGCTCAAATTCTTAATACCTTCAATTGACCTGATCATGTTATTGCTTGCGTCCAATCTCGTTAGGTGTATGCTTGAAGTAAAGGGGGTAAGATTTTCAAGGGAATTGGAGGAAATATCGAGCACCTGCAAGTCATGGAAGTCAGCGAAAGAAGACATGCCATCGATAGAATTCTGCGAAAGATTCAAATCGAGACAGCCCGAAGGGACTCCGCGGACGAATCTAAGGTAATTAGCCGATAAATCGATCTTGGTAGCATTAGGAAGGTATTTCTGCAACCCCTCAACACTTTCTAGCTGCTGGTTAGACAAATCGATGACGTCGATTTCGTTCCAAGCGCTCGATGCAGCTATTCCCGTAATTATAGAAATGAGTCTTTTATGAGTTTGGGAAAATGTAATCTCTCCGACATCAGAGAGCTTAGTAACATCGAAGTCTTGACGATGCTGGGGCAGACTCTCGACTGACCGATCTGGGATTTGAAAGGAGACCTCCAAGTTTTTGTCTCTCACCGATGTTTTTCTAGACAGCTTCAAAATACTGACTTCCTTAGTCTCTCTTTCGTCAGCATCGTTGGCTGCTTGAGATTCAGTGGGTAGGTCGAGGATGGAGTCAAGACTGCCAGGGTAATCATTTTCTTTGTCATTAGAGACCCACCTATTGTTGCGGTTGTCGTACACCATATTGCCGTACTGTTCTGGGAATTTTCCAGGCTTGACAGTCCCTTTGGCAATCTGGTTCTCCAAATTACTATTCAGCATGACTCTAGACCTTGCTTCTTCATTTGAGAGCCTTAACCGAGAAGGCCTCTTCCACACAATTGGTGGCGCCCCTTGATCATCATCATCGCTGAATTCAAAATCCTGTTCCATAGAATTTGGGCGCTGGTCTGACTCCTTGGTGTGACGCTTGACAGAAGACATGGAGCTGACGAACTGGTTCGCTGGCACTTGAACCGAGAGCTTATCGGAGCCTTGATGTGATCTGATCTTCGTATTCTCTAGAGGCTCTTCCATATCCAAAGTGGGCTCTTCAGGTATGGAGTTGTCGTCAGAGCCAGCATCGCTCGCCTCATCAAATGTGTAAACACTGGCATTGTCAGCGGGTGCTTCGAGCCTCTCATGAGCTGGATCAGGCCCATTGCTCTTGGAAGTCAAGGACCTGTCAAACGAGGTGTATTCGTTTTGATGGTTAGTGGTATCATTGCGCTGTGCTTGGTATTGGGATTCCTCAGAACTGTCACCAAAGTTTGTCGAGAAGGAAGAGTACTCGTCAAGGGGTGCAATAACATCAATGTCATTGACCTTGTCGGCTTTCGGCGTGGAGGTTACTGTGTTGTGCTCAATGGACCGCTGGAAGCTCGTACTGTGATCTGGTCCCTTTGATAGGTGATTAGGTTTGTAACCTCTTTGCTGGATGTGGGCAAAGACATTGTTGGCGTTATTCATAAAATCTTGATCGGTGTAGTCGCCTGCTTTCGTAAACTTCTGAATTTCCAACTTGGGAACGGGAGGTTGCATGTTTGACATACTCCGCGTTGTCTTTTGGGCACTGTTCGTGGTGGAACGAACCTTATCGACAAATTTTGAGAGGAAGACTTTTGTGAAGGTGTCATAGTCGCTACCGAATAGCTTGAGTGGGGAACCCTTGATCTCGTAGTCATCCGGCTTATCCTTTGCTTTCTCGAGGATGTCCTCCAATTGGTGAATCTGCTGCTGAGTCAAGTGTATGTCGCCCTCTTTAGTAGCCACGGGAGTTGAAAAAGCGGAGGAGTATGAAAACCCTGCCGAGTTCCCGGTTCTCGAATTATTATTGTTGTTCTTGCCATTGAGGTGTGACATGGATTTCGACTGGGATGGATTTAGACTTGAGTGCTGCTTCGACTCGTCGTGGGACTGGAATATGCTCTGGAGGGGCTCGGCTCGCGTGTTAAGCTGGTAGTCTTTGGACATCCGCTTCCACATTGGCGTGATTGGCTGCTCCTGGGAGTTTTGGGGGTTGTGGATGAATGTGCCAGCATCGGCAGAGCCCAAGAAGTCAAGATTTGCTGCACTGTGCTGACCGTTTTCCTCTGCAGCGGTTGCATTGCCCTTCAGCCACTCGTCCCGTAGAACCTGAGGCATCCACGATGGAGTATCGTTATGTTTGGACGACTCGCTCTGGACATTGAGACCTTTCATCGTGCTGGTTTTCACAGGCTGCGGCAGAGGCTCCCTTGGAGGATCTCTGCTTTCATCAAGAGGTGCCATGCCTATCCGTTCTTTCGTCTTAGCGTTTGGATGCTTCTTATGCTTGAAAGTGTTGGGTACTGAAATACCCACGGCGCTGTTTTCGCCCAAAAAGCCCGAATTGGCAAGGTACCGAAGCTGCTCTTTGTACTTGCTTCTTGGTTCCAGATCACCCACCAATGGCACGTCCAACTGTGGAGTTGATCTGAGATCAAGGTGGTCCAGCGACGCCGAGTGTGGAGGCAGATTGGGGGAGCCTGAGTAGCCACTCATGCTGTGTTGTCTTCGGGAAGATTCTCGGGGTTGACGCCGAGGAACTTGTGTGGACAGTTCCAGCAGGTTATCCGACATGAGTTGGTGATGATGTTTGTTTATGTTTTGAGTGCGGGTAGACGTGCAACGAGGTGGAGGGCGATCTGAGGTGTCGATGTGGACTGAGTTGGGATAAAGTGAAATTGGGGTATTTTGATTTTATTTGATTGAGTTAGTTGATATTTGTTTTTGAAAATGGAAAATAGGCCGTTGAAGGTGGATTAACTGGAGTGTTGTGGTGAGGCTGCGAGAGTGAGAATGGCTGCAAAATGGATGTGAGGGTGCTGTTCACCGGACACTACGAGAGAGGGACTATACAGAAGGATATTTCGAAAAAACAAAGCTTACGTGTATAGGAAGAGGATTTTGTATGAGGAGCTTTAATGAGGACGTGGTTCGTTTCTTTGTGCTGCTTTATCTCGATAACCAAGGAATGCCACTGAGAATTACTAGCTTTTACGTACAGAGAGGTATCCTAATAGGAGCACCTAAGAATTGAGCAAACCACTTATCTTGTCTAAAAGCACAGAAATAGAAATTGCCATGCTAAGTAGCTAATCGATGGACCATCAAGGTCTTGGCAAGATAAAACTGCATTTTCGTGACCAAATTCGTCTTCTTGTCTGATCCGTAATCTCCTAGCATACCGCTCCAGAGTGATATACGAACGCCCGATACATCTTACCACTCGAACACTCGAGCCCAAAACCTACTACCTAAACAAACAATCCCAAAATATATAAACCATCCACCAAAAGACAATTTCTATACATCCATGTTATCGTATTCCGAGAACCCACTTTCCTCCCCACCTTGCAACCAATGACGCTCTTTTTCATTCACCGCACCAAGCAAGTGGAAGACAATAACGCACCTTCGGAGTTCGATAACAGACGCCGAAGCCCATTCGTGGACCTATGGACATCTCAATTGAGTCAAAATACAAAATGCCATGTTTATTCACCGCAACCGATGACCACAAAGCGTAGTTGGCATTTCTAAATCTTGGCGGAAAGCTGCTCTAGACGGAAAGCTTCGCCATAGCCGCCTCACCAGATTCACACACCATTGGAAAATCCACATTTACTATGATTTATGCTCATTGAACTCTCAACATTAAATCACCCTCTATTGCTCTCTTTACAACAATATCACAATCTCCACCTAAACCACTCCAGTACAGACCAGACCTCACATTCCACTGCGAATCACCAGGACAGGTCCAACAATTGCCCATTCAAAATTGCAATTTCCTTGAAAAATCCCAAAACGGCCTTTTCCCAAAAATACCACCGTCAGCTCCTAATCCACGCCTCTCGGCTTGCCCGATTTGCTCTACCGTCGATGCACCACTAGCCCCAGGACCTCTCTCACACCAAACTACATATACTCCTAGTGTCTTTCAGAAACTACCCACTTCAACACAACTGCGTTTCTCAATTCACCCTCACCTCGGCGTTCTACCATTTGCTTTTTTCCTACGGAGTTTTGCCTTTTGCCTTTTATCTCGTCCCGGGTATCCTACCAGTTCTCCTGTTTGCTTAAACACACCGCTTGCTGAAACCTGACCTAAAGGTGCTCCGCATTTCAATCATACAATGTCCTACGAACACGAGGAACCGCTTATAGTCGACCCGACTGCGGTCTCCAGCACAGCCTCCCAGCAGCACCAGCAAGAGCAGGAAATGCTTTCGTCCTACTCGGTTCCAAAACCCCCTGTATCCACACAGCAATCCACCGTGGCCACCGATACAGAGACTGAGCCCAATGCTGCTCCCCAGGAACAGCCTCGTACGCTCTGGATGGGTGACTTGGACACGTGGCTTGACGAGGCCGCCATAGTCGACTTGTGGTGGCAGATATTACGCAAGAAGGTGCATGTCAAGGTGATCAAGCCCAAGAACCCGAAGCCCGAGTCTCCCTACATGGGGTTGACCCACCTGGGCTACTGCTTTGTGGAGTTTGAAACCTACGACGACGCCCAGCAGGCATTGGCTCTCAATGGGCAATTGCTTCCGGATATCGCCATGCCTTCGCAACGCCATTTTCCTAACAACCCGGACAATCAGAAGAAGTACTTCCGGTTGAACTGGGCCTCGGGTGCCACGCTTCTGGCTCCGATCGTGCACTCGCCCGAATACTCCTTGTTTGTGGGCGACTTGAGCGCCTCTACCACCGAGGCACACCTTCTTCTGTTCTTCCAAAAACTGTTTCCTAACTCCATCAAGACCGTCAGGGTCATGACCGACCCGGTTTCCGGCAAGTCCCGATGCTTTGGGTTTGTCCGTTTTACCGACGATTCCGAACGCAGAAGGGCCCTTGTAGAAATGAACGGCGCCTGGTTTGGCGGCAGACCTTTGAGAGTGGCCTTGGCTACACCTCGAAATGCATCCTCGTCTAGATCGCCCAAGTCCGATTTCAGAGGCAACGATATGGCTGCTCCTGGTCCCTACATGGACCAGCTGCAAGAGTACATGTACATGCCGCCAGGAGCTAACGCTCCCGTTCATGGCGGCCACCCAGGTGGTCCAGGTTCTTCTTACTACTATACGCTGCCGATGATGGGCGATAAGGCCAACGAAATGGGATACATGCCTCAGGGAATCCCACAGAGCATCCCGCCTCAGGGCCAACCGTACCTGGATCCAACCAACACGACTGTTTTCGTTGGAGGTCTCTCTTCTGACGTGAGCGAGCAGACGCTTCTTACGCTTTTCATGCCCTTTGGTGTCATCCAGCAAATCAAAATACCCCCAGGCAAGAATTGCGGTTTCCTTAAATATTCCACTCGCGAGGAAGCCGAGGACGCTATTCTGTCGATGGAAGGTTTTATTATTGGTGGTAATCGTGTGCGTCTAGGCTGGGGCCGGGTTTCAGCCAACAACAAGAAGTACCACCAGCAAAGACAGCAATTTGCTCATGTGGCACAGATGCAAGCTGCCGCTGCCATGTCAATGGGCATGGATCCAGCTTCCGCTTATGCTGCTGCCGCCGCTGCTGCTGCCGGATATCCACCTCAGAATGCTGTTCCTGGCGGTCTGCCTGGCTATCCTCCAGTGCCTATGGGGATCCCACAGATGCATCCAATGGGAGGCCCAGCTTATGGAGCACCAGAACACGGTCACAATAGCGGCGAGCCTTACTCACCTACGGCAACTGCTCAAGAGGACCTTCAACCCGAGTCTGCAGAGCAGCCTGGCTTCATCAACCCGGACAATTTGGCATCGACGTTTGACAAACTCAAAATAGACCCGTCTGCTGCCCCCAACACGCCGCCTCCCACTGCCGAGAGCAAGGCTGAGAAGGCTGAGAAGAAGGCCTAAGGAGAAGCAAGAGGCTGGATCCCACGATAAAGAAACGTTTCAGGGCTGGTCCCTTCAAAGACAAGACGCTGACGTGGCCGGGATATGGACACGGCCCACGACGAGTGACGATGTAGAATACGTGATCTTCACCGAGACGTAGCAGTGCACGCTACGTCCACCAGCGACCACAGCATTCCAATAATGATAAGTTTTGTTTGCTTTCTACAACCTCTTCTACATTTTTCTCCTAAACAATATCATTAAACCAACATAAAACTATAACTGTAACATAAGTTGAGGCACGCCGCAGCCTTACGATCTCTCGCCTCTCAATCTTCTGGCCAACTGGATGTCCTTCTTCTGGATGGTGACTCTCTTGGCGTGGATAGCACACAAGTTGGTGTCCTCGAACAAGGAGACCAAGTAGGCTTCGACGGCTTCCTGAAGAGCACCAATAGCAGAGGACTGGAATCTCAAGTCGGACTTGAAGTCCTGGGCGATTTCTCTAACCAATCTCTGGAAAGGCAACTTTCTGATCAAAAGGTCAGTGGACTTCTGGAATCTTCTGATTTCTCTCAAGGCCACGGTACCTGGCTTATATCTGTGGGGCTTCTTGACACCGCCGGAAACTGGGGCGGACTTTCTAGCGGCCTTGGAGGCCAACTGCTTTCTTGGGGCCTTACCACCGGTGGATTTTCTGGCTGTTTGCTTAGTTCTGGCCATTACGTGATGTAGAAAGAAGAAGAGTAACTGGGAAAATTTGTATTGCGGATCTAGGCGCAGGGAGGGTGAGAGGGAGGCGAAACGAGCAAGGGGAAAAAAGGCGCTCTGGGCCAATCATATTGCACTATTCTCTCACGCACCGTACTAGGAAGTGTAGTGGTGACCGAAAAAAGAATTACATGCGCCCCACACCGTTAGCTGACGGGTGGTGTGGTGATAGTGTAGAATTTAGGGAAGGTGTAGTGATGGATTCGGTCATGGAAGGAAAGAAGGTTTGGGTGATTTTGGAAGGTTTAAATTGTTTACATGGTCATCTTTTGGAAGAGGAAGTCTGAATTGGTTGGATTGTGTATGGTGAGCCTCAGTGGTCTGGGCTTGAGACAGCTGATAAGAGTCAGATAGGTGAAGTGAGGAAAAGCAGTTGCTAGTATTGTGGGTGGCAAAATGGCAATGTATCGAAGGATACAATGCACTTTTCTTTTTTCTTTCTTTATTGGTCTGGAACTTTGGACCTGCTTTGGTTCGGCTTTCTAGCCCACATGTTCACATTTTGCACCCAATTTCGTGACGCAGCTGGAAACTGAGTTGTTGGGAATTGGTCTACAATAATTCTATTTGTTTTTTCGTATTCTGAAGCTCGAGGTTACGACATATTTAAATGAATGTAAAAAGAATTTTCAACCACAGACCACTATGCCAATTGACTTATGCTAACGGAATTGTGGAGGACGAATGGCACCTCCAGAGACCCTTTTCGAGATGAATCGTGGAAAACTCTCAATTTCTCTCAAATTGAAAATTCACCCTGGAGTATCCTTGAATATCTCCTTGAAAAGCCTACTTCGGGGTTCCGTTTGAGGTATCAATGGCCCACTTGCTGTAGATGACCAGGTAGAACACTCGGAGTTACCAAATCGGACCCCACAGCAAAAAGCTCAATAATCAATGCTGTGAAGGCCTGGATGAACTCCAGTTCCGAGTCAATTATCGTATTCAGCCAATCGTGTCTCATCGTATCAAACCTACATCACTCTCGGATATGAATATATTAGCAATACTCGATTGCCATGCAAAGCAGCCAGGGCTATAGTATACAAGGCACGTTCATGCCGTGGCAAGGAGCCACATGATTAGTTTCTGTACCACATACGGGTGATTCTCGTCTTCATCATCTTCTTCTGCAACTGGAAAACACCGTACATCAAGGCCTCGGCCGTAGGAGGACAGCCGGGCACGTAGATGTCCACGGGAATAAGACGGTCACAGCCTCTGACCACCGAGTAGGAGTAGTGGTAGTAGCCGCCTCCGTTGGCGCACGAGCCCATGGAAATAACCCATCTAGGGTCAGACATCTGGTCGTACACCTGTCTCAATGCTGGAGCCATCTTGTTGGTGACAGTACCGGCCACAATCATAATATCCGACTGACGTGGCGAGGCACGGAAAATAATACCCAATCTATCCTGGTCATATCTGGGAGCAGAGACATGCATCATCTCCACGGCACAGCAGGCCAAACCGAAAGTGACGGGCCAAAAGGACGATTTTCTCGCCCACATGGCAATGGCGTCGAGCGACGTCAAGGCGTAGTCGACTGGCGACGATGCAGTTTTCTGGGACATGAGGGTGAAGTCTGTGTCCAACTTTCTTGGGGTCAAGTCTTTGGCAGGAACTCCTCCACCACCAATCTGCTTGGTGGAGGCCAAGCGGAGAGCCTGGATGCGGAGAGCCCCGAGGGCTTGTGTTTTAGGGATCGCCGCAAGCGAGTTTCTAACAACCGGCAACATTTGTGTGAAAAGATGTGATGGTAGCGGTGTTGGAGAGACACTAGTTTTTTTTTGCGAGTTGCAATCAGCACAAATTAGGGCAAAGTGATTGGATAGGTGCGTGGTGCACGGGTGCGGTGCCCGGAGTCAGCGTGTAGACGGGTGTGGTTTTGGCAAAATTTAGCTGAAAGCTTGTGATTTGATGAATTTCGGAAGCAGCGTTTTTGTTGTTTTTGTTTTCGTGTTTTTGTCGGCCTTGTGGCCCGAGAACGTGGTGGTCATCGGTGCATGCAAAGCTTTGTTAGAGCCAGGATTGGTTGCAAATGCGACGGACTAAATAGGGTGCTTTCACGCAGACAGATGGAAGAGATAGTCGTTGTTGAGGTGTGATTTTTGGATTTTGTTGTGGCGAGAAATTGGTGATTTCTATGTGATGGGTTGAATTTAGTTGAGGATTTGTTTTTTTGTAGGGGTAAGTTCATAGGCAAGGCAGCTACGCCGTACGTAATAGTGTAGACTGCTACATTACATGAATTACCCCAGCAAGACGATGAATTACCCCAACAAGACGGTCTAATTGTTTTCAGGCTTCTGCTTGTACAAAGCATACTTTGAGCCCTTTACAAAAACTCTTAAGGGGTTCCTTGCAAAGAATCAGAGGAATCGTCTTGTTCTTCTCTGTGAGGTTGAAAAGTTCACTTCTGCAAGTTGCCAGGTTCATTTCCTCAATTGACTTAGTTCTACAACGGACTCTGTAGCATCAATTTCGTTAAGTTTTATTGTAAATATGCAAAGCAGCGAAGTGCAGCAGCCATATGTGACGTCAGTTAAAGCCAGTCTCAATGATCCAAGTGAAGGTATATTTAGGGCTGGTCTGTAATCACTCTTCCACTTTTAGACGTCTTTGCTTCTTCGCCGTTATTTAAACACCCTCTAGTTCATAGAATCAGTTTTCTGCACTTCGCTTTCATTTGGAGGTGCCGTTTGAAGGATGATCCACCAACTGATCCTGATTAACAACCCGATAATGATCGTTACAAGACACTCACATGGCAACTAATGGAAGAAGAAGTTCAGTGAAGGGTAGCGCCCCTCCCCTCGTCATCTCCACCTCTCGTCCATCGTCCACTACTGGATCGCATCGTCAAGGTACTCCTTGATCCTGTTCAAAACATCCTCCTTCACAGACTCAGGCACCTTCTCCTCAGCCTTGGGCCTCAAAAAATTATACAAGTTTTCAAAATTCATCTCCTCCAGTCCTGGCTTCTGAAGCTCTTTACTGGCGACCTGAGAGATCTCATCAAACCAGCCAGCTTCGTACAACTTGAGCTTAAGCTGCTTGGAAATAATCTCGTAGTTTCCCAGGGACACCAAATGATCCTGGATTTTCGCCTTGATGGCGTCTGTGTCGTCCTTCATTGCAAAGAAGGCTCAGGTGGTTTGGTTACTCAGTTTTGCACTGGGTACAGTTTGTGCGATATCGGGTCCAGTAGAACCAGAACTCAGAGCAACTCAACCTGCGACTCTTTTATGAAAAGAATTGCCAGTGCTTGCAGAAACCTCAATCGCTTTTCCAGAACTTTCAGCACCACCAGAATGAGCAATTCTCCTTACGACGCCAAGATCAAGTCTGTGGAGGCCTTGGACCAGGGCAAGTGGATCCAGACCAGGAAGATCAATTGGATTGATCCTGCTGGAAAGGAGAGAGTCTGGGAGATGGCCGTCAGAACAACGAGAACAGAAACCACTGGTTTGGACGCCGTTTCGATTTTCGCCTTGCTTAAGAAAAAGGGCCAGCCCAGTGATCTCGTTCTTGTCAAGCAATTCAGACCCCCATGCGAGAAGGTGGTCATTGAGATGCCTGCTGGTCTTATTGATCCTAATGAGTCTGTCGAGTCTACTGCTGAAAGGGAATTGATCGAAGAGACTGGCTATCACGGTAAGACAAGAAGCAGTTCTCACGATAGTATCACTTTGTTCAGTGATCCTGGCCTTACCAACGCCAACATGGCTTTGGTGACCGTGGATGTGGATATGGAGGACCCACGTAACCAGAACCCCCAAGCACAGACCGAGGATGGAGAGTTTATTGATGTTTTCACGTTGCCAATTGACAATCTCTTAAGGGGACTTGAGGAGGTGTGCCAGAAGGAGGGATGCGTCGTCGATGCCAGGTTATACCACTTTGCTGCTGGCCTTGATGTTGCCAAGAGGGCGTTCCAGTAGGGGTTGTATGTGCTTTTTGATTTAACTGATTGAAGTACAGGTTTACGTAAAGGCTATGGGTTTACGAACTTTTAATAAAATGAGGCCGTCAAGGGTTTCAGAGACCAGGGCAACAACTGATTTTGAGGTAGTTTGGAGAGTTTGTGTGGAGTGGTTCACTGAGGTAGGTTATATTTAAGCATCCGAGGGATGTTCAAATGCCGAGGATGATAGAATCTGAATTCGAAATTTTCCACAACTTCGAGAGGTATTCACCCTATAATCGAGATCAAATCAGCTATAGAAGCTTGACTTGATATCACCTCCCACTATTCAACTGTGCTCGCCCTTTTCATATGTCAGGAAATGGCTGCAAACCATGAGTTCGACAGCCATCTAAATCCGAAAGACGATTTTCATTCTTTAAAAGATAATAAGGAAGCTTTCTATAGCATTAAATTATCATTTAAAGAGTAATTTCGTATAATCTGAGCTGATATGAGTCTTCTTCAGCCTTTTGGGGTTACTCAAAACGGCGACAAGCTACATATCGTGCACCAACTAAAATACCTAAATCACAATCTCATCCAACCACTCCAATTCAATTATTTCAATAACCTAGGTCTCTCAATTTCAAAAAATACAAGCCCCTCCTAAATTCCGAAATCCCAACATCCCGATCGGCTTCTGATCGCCCCATGGGTATTTGTCTCAGCTGAGTGCGAAATCTCATGTTCCCCAGATTACCTACCATGTCTTCTTCTATATGTGCCCTCTGTCTCGGAGACGATACGGAGATTCCATCGTTCGGCACTACCAAAGATGCTGAAGACCTTATTATGCCTTGCTCCACGTGCTCGTTGGTGGTTCACAAAATGTGCCTCATGGAGTGGTTCAACTCGCTCCCTCCATCTAAGGTGACTAGAACGTTCAGGGACGAGATTCCAAGGAGGTCGAGCCTGGCCGATTCAAGATCAGATATCGGTGTTTTTCCTCCGGTGGACGACGATTTGGATGATCCGGGAATGTTCAACTTCAATTCCCGCTGGGGAAGGCTCCTTGTAACCTGGGGTACGGAATCATACGTCTACACGCCCTCCCAGGATATGGTGGGCCTCGGAGATAACAATTCTGTGATGCTTGCGGCCGATTGCCCACAGTGTAAAAACAAGATCGTCTTCAAAATGTCCCACTCGTCGCTACTAGCGCTCAACACCTTGGTACGGTCGTCTATCAAGGATATGGTTCTGTACCTGGGTGTGTTCATGGGTGTTTCTGGAGCCGCCATCGGAATTGTCACTGTGGGATATGCTGGTCTTACTCGCTGTGGCGTTAATATGCTTGAGGTGATGGTACCCGAGTCCATCTTAATCTCCTTGCTCCGTAGAAAGCCACAATCTGGCCCTGCTACTACTTTGAGTGCAGCTGTGCCCCTGGCAGACCGCATGGACTGGGATGTTAACGTCTTGAGCCACTTCCGCTTCCAGCTTGTGCCGCTTCTTCCCCTTGTGTTGTTCAGAATGCGCTTTTCGTCTATCTTTGGGTGCATTTTCAACTCCTCAGCACTGTCGTTGCTCACAGACGCTTTCAACGAGTTTCTTGTATGCCAGTATGTCTCGTCTTTGGGCAACCACACACTTGCAAAGGGGTTGTACGCCAATTTGAGACAGTGTCTTGCTTCCGTGTGGAAGTCTCGCTCTTTGGGAGCACTCGGCTGGGCTGGTCTCACAAAGAACATCAGCTGGTGGGATCCAAATGTCATGATTGGTTCCATGATTCCAGCAAGATGGATCTACGACTTGTTGTTTAGGCTCACTATCAACAAACGTCACTTTGACCTCTCAATGGCGGTGCGTCCCAAAAGCATAGCCAACTCGCTCAGTGAGAGCGAACTTGCAAAGTACGAGCTTATTGAGAGCAGATTGGGAAGGCTTCATTTCGAATTGCGGGACAAGGTCAGAAAGGCGAAGCGTAATTCCCCTGTTGCTACTTCCCCCTCGCCAATGATCAACGCTATCAGACACAAGCTTCTTGAGTTGCTGATAATACTCAAAGAGGACTTTGCATGGCGCTGGCTCAAGCTCAAGCTTCAAGCATGGCTGTTCAAACTGTTTGCATGTCTAAAAAACGACTACTCAACTTCGCTTCTTACAAAACTGAGAGTCGTGACGGGAGTAACTACGTTCCTTTGGCCATTTTTAGCTGCTGACGTTGGCAGGATAATGCTCACAGTGCTTCAGAGGTCTTCATGGTTTCTGCATGTTCCAAGACCCAAACTCATTCTTTTTGCAAACCTTGTCGGCATGTTTGGCGTGACAATCATCAAAGATTTGTTCAACCTATATTTGAGCGCTCACAAGGCCAATACCTTATCTAACATGACCATCGTCACCTCCAGAGGATCACAGTCAAGCGCATCTACAACACCAACTCCAGTAGAGCAAGCCGCCGTTCCTGGAGCGTTCAACCAGTGAGTCTTGAACAAGATTTTAATCGTACATATTACACAGAGTTTGCACCGCTTGCGAGCGGTCAGGGAGTTCCTAGCGACATCATTACTCGTCATCGTAGTTTTCATCCTCCTCTACTTTGCGCAAAGGAGGCTCAACAGGCTCATTCGTTTTTTCTTCTTCTTCCTCGTCATTGTCATTGTCCTTTTCGTTGGTCTCTTCGTTCTTCTCGTTTTCCGTCACGTTGCTGGAAAACTTGGGAGCTGAAGTAGTGTTCGAAGACTCTTCAGTCACCACAGGCTGAGGGTTGACGCTAGGACCAGGGGCGGCAGCTGGACCAGGAGCACTTGTGGCAGTAGCTGGCTCAGGTTCCGCAGGCTTCTCAGGCTCTGACTTCTCATCTGCCGAAGATCCATTAGGTTGATTATTTGCGCTTTCGGCAGGCTGAGGAGTGGCGGTCTTTGAGATGGAGGGCTTCTTCAATGCTTTATCGTCGTTCTTCTCCTCCAAGTCGTGTTTGAGAGAACCGTTGGTTTGTTCGGCCGAGGGCTTCTCAACTTCCATTGGGGTACCCTGTTTGGATGCCTCTGATGCTGTCAGATCAGCGGGCTTGGACTCAGCGGGCGGAGCTAGCGTCTGCTCTCTACTATCCTGGCGGGGCTGCACAGGTGGAAGGGTTGCACCAACAGATGGCGATTGGGCGGTAGATCCAGCTGCCTGACCAGCTTGTTCACCAGCAGCATTAACCGATGGAAGCTGGTTCAATGGCTGCGGCTGGTGCTGTGGAGTTGGGATTTGCAGAGGTGGATTGCTTTGGTGACCCTGGTACTGTGGAGCACCCGGCTGAGGAAGCTGTTGGTGCGGAAGTGGTTGACCAGACTGAAGATGAGGAGGTTGAGAACCAAGTTGTGGTCTACCGACTTGGTATGGCAGTTGTTGCTGCTGTTGTTGTTGCAGTTGTTGGGGCTGTTGCTGCTGCTGCTGTTGTTGTGGAGGAACCTGGTGGTGTGGCTGAAGACCCTGACCTGGGAAATTCACAGGCTGCTGTGGAGGGCGTTGGCCCTGCAGAAGCTGTGGAGGTGGAGGTGGAGGTCCTTGGGAGAACTGTTGAGGAGCAGGTGGCTGCTGTGGTTGTTGAGGTTGTGTGCTCTCCAACACCATACCTTGAGGCAAGCGTGGTTGCTGGTTCACTGGTGGTGGTTGAGGTGGATGGGTGTTACCGTCTTGCTGGTACTTGATCAATTGCTCCAAACGGGCCTTGATGTGTGGGTTGCCAGGGTCCAAACGCTCAGCCTGGCGGTAAGCGTCCAAGGCATCGCTGATCTGGTTGTTGCAGGTTTCATACAAGGTACCCAAGTCGTACCAGACCTCGGAGATGTATGGGTTCAAACGGATCGCCCTCGTGTAGGCATCGAGCGCATCACGGTATTGGGAGATCTGGTAGTAAAGAACACCAATGGAGCACCAGAAGGTTGGGTTTCTGGCGTCACGGTTGACAGCCTGCTGGAAGGCCTCGTAGGCAGCGTTGAAGTCACCACGGATCATGTGGACACGGCCCAAGTAGTACCATGAGTGAGCGTCGCCAGCGTCGATCTCGATCGACTGGGTGAGGTACTTGAGGGCAATGTTGAGATCCTGCTGGAAAGGCTGCTGGCCCTGGGCACCCTGGGATTGTTCATTTGGAGAGGTGGCGGACTCGGCCTGGGAGTACAAGCAACCCAATTGTTGCAAGACCTTGGCGTGGTTGGGGTTGACCTCCAAAAC